AGGATTCCCACTAAAACCGTGGAAGAAGTGTGTCCTTTTTGCCACCGGACTTATACAAATAAAGACGTAAGACCATAGCTGGTAACAGTCACTCTGCCACCAAGAGGAGAGGGTTTGTTGAGAGTGAAGCCCATGTAGGGGTGAACAGAGCAGGGAACAGAGAAAAATTGACCCTAGGAGTCTTGTTTACATGCTAGAGTTCTTCAATCATACTCACCCATCAACGAGAATGCTCAACTGAGTGAGATTGAGTTGAATTTTCTATTTGCAATCAGGATATTCCCGATACACATGGTTTCTCAGAATATTCCTGATACACATGGTTTTATTTTGTAGATATAGGGAATGTGAGGACTAGAGCAGAGGAAGTGACATCTCCAGTGGCACATGCATAACAAGTAGGATTCGTCATCTCAGCTATTCACTTCTATAGTACTTCAGAATCAGGAAACCAGCTACACACTGAATACATGGAGATTGCACAGATAGCCCTGTAATCTATGCAACTTATTTCTGAATTCCCTCACAATTGGTTTTAAGGGTTGTTCCTGGTTATCATATTCTCCTATTCTAGAGCTTCTAGGAATAGTTGGAATTGAGTCAAAAACTCTAACAATACAATTGAATTAACATGTGTAATTGACAGGGAACATAATCTCTCTCTCTCTCTCACACACACACACACACATTTAACGAGTGATGCTTTACATCTGGGGAGAGGAATACTATTTTTTTTTTTTTTTGGCAGAGATGAGGTCTCACTCTATAGCCCAGGCAGGTCTGAAACTCCTGGGCTCAAGTAACCCACCTGCCTTGGCCTTCCAAAATGCTGGGATTATAAATGTGAGCCACCCTGCCTGGCTGAGATACTTTTAAATCCAGATGTCACCATTTTCCTGTTTTAAAAATATGTCCCTGAATGCTCCCCATGGTCAATGTTGGTCATTCATTTATTTGGTTTTGTTCTTCCCTTTTTTGCACTCTAATTGTACCAAATCCTGGAAGTGGAGAGGATATTCTTTCTGCTGATTTGCCACCTCTCTGTATCCAGAACATAAAATTTATTCTCACAGGTGTTTGCATTGGGATCTTCTGTGGCAACTCCTTTCTGATAACCTTTATTCATTCATTCAACAGCTATTGAATGCTCAGTATGTGCTAGACACAAAGGTATGAACAACAACAATGAATCTCAGACCTCACAGAGGGTCCCAGTACATTTCAGAGAGTCTAGGAGCTATGTTGTCTTTCTCATAGCTTCTCTGGATTTACACAGCCTGTAGATTGATGTTGATAATTCTTTGCTTATTGTGTACAGGGTGAAGGTTGTTGGAAGGGAGGGAAACATTTCACTGGTGATAATCATCTTTCTGTTTTTAATCCTCCCCCCCCCCCCCCCCCCCCCCCCCCGCGTTGGCTGGAGAGTCATTTCCTGTTCGCTTTTGTTTCTCCCTTCCTGTTGATCCTCTAAAGGCCTCCCTACTGACTGACTCCTCTAGCCCCTTTGTAGTGCCTTCTAGTACCAACAGTATTCTAGCAGACTTAATACGTGCTGAACAGTGTACTAAGTGCCCTACACATACCATTCATTTAACCCTTACTACAGCACTGTACAGTTGTGTCTCAGAAGCGGATTTTTCTAAAGTGAATTAACCTCAAATATTTATTTTCATTTTATTCAATTTCACTCTATTAGTCTTTGAATTCTGAAGGTTCAGAATTAGATTTGGTTAATATTTAGCCTTGACTGCCTCTTATATGCCTGTGCTTCAGTAATATGCAATAGGCAGAGACAACATTAAACCAGAGGTGTATTCATGACCACTGCTGACCTGGCCTGGCCACTTTGGACATCAAAGTTATGAGCATGGTTGGGGTCCACACGCTTCAATGATCTAACTTAAGGATACCTACTGAGGAGAGTGGGACATCGGCTTCTGAGCAGGAAGCTTCATAGCGCCAGCAATAAAAGAGAGAATTAAATATGGGTGGTGTTGAGAAAGGCAAGATTTTTGTTCAGAAGTGTGTCCAGTACCACACCATGGAAAAGGGAGGCAAGCAAAAGACTGGGCCTAATCTCCATGGCCTCTTTGCTTGGAAGACAGATCAGGGTGTTGGATTCTCTTAACACAGACACCAATAAGAACAAAGGCATCACCTGGAGAGAGGATACACTAATGAAGTATTTGGAGAATCCCAAGAAGTACATCCCTGGAACAAAAATGATCTTTGCCAGTATTAAGAAGAAGGCAGAAAGGGCAGACTTGATAGCTTATCTAAAAAAAAAAAAAAAAGCTACTGAGTAATAGCCACGCCTTATTTATTACAAAGCAGAAATGTCTCATTTTTTTTATGTGTACCATAATTTAATAGATTTTATACACCAGAATTCAGATCATGAATGACCGACAAAATATTTTCATTGGGTAGCCTTGATTACGAACTAAGATTGGCTTATGGTTAAATTAATATGTTTGGTTTTTTGGAATTTTCTTTGTTTGTTTGTTTTTGAGATGGAGTTTCGCTCTTGTTGCCCAGGCTGGAGTGCAACGTTGTGATCTCGGCTCACCGCAACCGTCACCTCCTGGGTTTAAGTGATTTTCCTGCCTCAGTCTCCTGAGCAGCTGGGATTACAGGCGCCTACCACCACACCCAGCTAATCTTTGTGTTTTTAGTAGAGGCAGGGTTTCACCATGTTGGCCAGGCTGGTCTCAATCAGGCCCAACTACAAGACAAGCACTTTTGAAGATCCAGGCTGGCACGGAAGTACAAACTGCCATCAGGGCTGAAAGTCTTGGGGGACTTGGTTTTGGAGGCAGTGGCAGTCAGTGGTGGCAAAGAAGTCAAAAGTGTTCCCTGAGAGACGGGAAAGCAGAGGCAGGCTCTCACCTACAGGAGCCCAGGGCTAAGGTAGGATTCATGTCTCATTCCCTTTCCCTATGGAAGGAGGCTGGAAATGAACATGTGCCAAGTGCTGAAGGAGCAGTAGCTCCCATCCAGCTCTAGGCTGGGAGAGAAGGATGAGACAAAGCCTTGTGACCAGGAGCTGAGTCAAACTTCCCCTGTGACTCATCCTGAAATTGCCATGGCCCAGGGGCTCTGCAGGACTGTTCGTCTCACTGCCCTTACCACAAGCGGATCTGGATTGGGGACCCCCAAAGCTTTCAACAGGATAATTGAATATGAAGGTAGCTTATGGGAGAGAGAGGGAATGAAAAACAAAATGAAAACAATAAACTATTTCAAATTGCAAATGGGACTGTAAACTAAATACAAAACTGAAGGGAAAAAGCTAATGCTAAAAAAAGTCAACAAAACAGCTAGGGGCGGTGGCTCACACCTGTAATCCCAGCACTTTAGGAGGCTGAGGTGGGTGGATCATCTGAGGTCAGGAGTTTGAAATCAGCCTGGCCCACATGATGAAACCCCATGTCTACTAAATGCAGAAATTAGCCAGGAATGGTGATGGGTGCCTATAATCCCAGCTACTCAGGAGGCTGAGGCAGGAGAATCACTTGAACCCAGGAGATGGAGGTTGTAGTGAGTTGAGATCTTGCACTTCAGCCCTGGGTGACCAAAAAAAAAAAAAAAAGTCAATAAACTAACAATCAGAAGGCGGATTCATTTTGGGTAAAATTAATTTTACAGAATGATCAGATAAAACTTTAAAGTAAATGTATTGATTATTTCAAATAAATAAATGAAATCAAAGCTTCCATTGAAAAATAAAAAATTATGAAAAAAGAGGCTGAAAGCAGAATGAGGAGATATGACAAGGACCAATTAGAAAATTTAAACATTAAAAAAAATATAGTCATTGAAAAAAAAATATGGAGCTTTGAGTTAGAATGGCTGTTTGGCTGCCTGCACCTAAGTTCACTGTCTTTCAAATGCACAGTAAAACTACAATAAAGAGATGGAGAAACCAACAAGAATGGGAGACTAGGTGAGGAGACAATGGCAACAGTATTTTGGACTCTGGAAAGGAGATGGAAGAGTGGTAACTGACTAGTAGAACTGAGAAAGCCAGACCTTAAGTTATCACAGTCTCAGAAAGTTGAGAAAAATCCAGTTACTGCAGAGAGTTCTCTAAGTTTCAGGAACTAGCACTTCTAGAAACCTCTAGACTTGGGGTAAAAGTCTCTGAGTAGCTGGGACTACAGGCGAGTGCCACCAGGCCTGGCTAATTGTTTCTGTATTTTTTTTTTTTGTAGACTTGGGGTTTTTTCATGTTGCCCAGACTGGTCTTGAGCTCCTAAACTCAAGCAATCTGCCTGCCTCAGTCTCCCAAAGTGCTAGGAGATTACATTTGATTACAATGTGTGAGCCATTGTGCCTGACCAAGATACTGTACTTATGAAGCAGACAGAATGTTAAGAAGTTCAGATAATCTTTAAAAAAAATAATATTTGGAAATTGAAAACATGATGGCAGCAATGGAAAAATTCAATGAAAGTGCTGGAAGTTGAAGTTGGGGAATTTGCCTAAAAATTAGAACAAAAATATACAGAGAGGAAAATAAGAGAGAGACATAAGAAAATTGGAGGATCAGCCCAGGAAATTTAACATGTGAACAATATGAAGTTCTAGAGGAAAATAACAGAAAAAGTACATAGTAAAAAATTAATAAAATTATCCACAAAAATTTACCAGATTAAAACACATGGATTTTGGATATTGAAAGGGGTCAACAAATGCCCAGTACAATGGATAATAATAGACCTACACTAAGGCATATTCTTGTGGAATTTCAGAACCTGGGGATAAAGAGATGATACTAACAGCTTTTAGAGGACAATAACAACAACAACACGTATTCAGAGGACTGGGAATCAAAATGGCTTCTGTATTCCAATGGCAATTTTTTTTTTACATCATAAATGGGAAGAATTTCCAATCTAGAATTCTACATTTAGACGGCCTATCAATAAAGTATAAAATTTCTAAAACTCAAAAAATCAAAATCTCAAAATATATAACTCTTATGTACTCTTTTGTAGGAAGCTATGGAAGGATGTGCTCCATCAATATGAAAGAGTAAACCGAGAAAAGGAAATAAACGGGATACAGGAAACATGAGATCTAATCCAGAGGAGCAATAAAGGCAACATCTAAAATGATGCTGATGGCGAATCCAAGGGTAGATCTGAGGGGAATCACTATGTACCAAGAACAAAAAGCAGTTCAGATTAGGGTGCATTTGAAAATTTGTGTCCAAGCAGAATGCAGTTTTTATCTATACTGTTCCAGAGTGAGCTGAAAGGCATTGTGAAAATTGAAGGAACCATTACTTTTACTGACAGTATCCACAATGATGAGTCTTTATGGCTGAGATAGAATAATAAGACAATAAAACATATGCCCTAATGTGAATGATTATACTAAAGTTTGGCATGTCTTTTTAAAAATCAACAAGGAGAAAGCCTTCATCAGAAGGAGAGAGCCATCTGATTTCCATGGGCTCCAATGCAGAAGAAAATATTAACTGGTCTTAATCAAAGAAATATTCCTACATATACAAATATGCCCATACATACATGCAATAACTCTAGAAGAATGTACAGTATAATAATCTGGTATTTATACTTTGGTTCCTTTTGAATTTTCTACTGTATGCATGTATTACTTCTTCAAAAATTGAATACAATGAAAGCTTTTCTAAAACTTTAATTCAAATGCCCATAATTGTAAATACATGTATCTAGAAACAATAATTTTACTTGTAGGGAAATATTGTATAGATAAAACCTCACCTTTTGGAAATGGTATATATAAGGTCATTTAATACAGAATTAATAACAAAACAGTGGAAGCAACTTTTACAAGGAACTCGTGAAGTAATAATGTTTATCTATTCAATGAGACTGTATGAAGGCTTTTAGTAGATGAAGACTCATATATTGATGTGAAACAATCATTACAATATTTTGTCAAATGAATGAAAGCAAGATGAAAAATACACAGAGTATGCCACATTTGTGTAAAAAACAAGAAAAAATCTCATGTGTGTGTGTCTCTCTGTGTGTGTGAATATGTGCATTGATTTCCACATATATGCACAGAATAAAAGATTCAGAAAGGTAGGCTATCAGAAAGAATAAAAGTAATTGATAACATTGTTTGCCTTTAGAAGAGAAACTGGGTGGCAAGAAGTTGAAGTTGAACTTTTCATTATTTGCCCTATTTAACCTTTGGATTTGAACCATATGAATGTAATACCTATTAAAAATTAGGCTGGGCATGGTGGCTCACGCCTGTAATCCTAGCACTTTGGGAGGCCGAGGCATGTGGATCACTTGAGGTCAGGAGTTCAAGATCAGCCTGGCCAACATGGTGAACCCCTATCTCTACTAAAAATACAAAACAATTAGCCAGGTACGGTGCCATGTGTGCCTGTAATTCCAGCTACTCAGGAGGTTGAGGCAGGACAAGTGCTTGAACTTGGGAGGCGGAGGTTGCAGTGAGCTGAGATCTCACCACTGTTCTCCATCCTGGGTGACAGAGCAAGACTCCATCTCACAAAATAAATAAATTTTAAAAAGTATTCAAATAGGTAATGGATGAGATGAACTCTACATCAGACACAGGAAAATAAATAGAGAATTGGAATGTAAAATATAAGAACTTATTCAGAATGCAATACAGAGAGTAGAAAAATGAAAGCTATGAAAGAGAAGGTACATGCAGGGGAATGACAGGCTGACAGCTCACTTCTTATCATAATAACATATATTTGAAGATAAGGAATATTGACTTAGAAATACTGAAGGAAAAAGCTGTCAACCTAGAATTTTGCCATCAGTGAAACTATTATTCAAGAAAGAGGGTTCAATAAAATCATTTGTAGACATATACATACTAAAAGATTTTACTGCACATCATAAGACTGTAAGACTATTAAAATTTGTTTCAGAAACAGAAATGTGCAGAAGATGTGGAATACAAGAAGCAAACTTCTCTCTCACCTCCAAAATGGAAGTTCTTCTAGTGAGCACAGAGATTGATGAAAGGTGTTGGAAATCCTAATTAATGGTTAGAGCCTAAGAATTATAACTTAAAAAACAATAACAACGTGGTGAAGAAGCCGTTCAAGGTGGGGGGGACTTGAAGCACACGAAGGATCTTACCGCAGTTGGAAGACATTAAATGTCTATAAACATTGACAGAAAAATTTTTAGTTAAGTATGTAGTTTAACAAATTCAGGGTGGCTATTAAAATAATAGAAATAAAAGTTATGGCTTCCAAATCAGAATGGAATACACATTATCAAACAAAAGAAGGTAGAAAAGAGGAAAAGCAATGGACAGTAAATAGAAAACACAAAATAGGGTACTATAATTAAATCTAAATAAAGGACTACATTAAAAAGTGTAAATGTATCAAATTTATTTATTAGAAGACAGAAGCAATCAGATGAATAAATAACAAAATGCAACTCTAGGCATTCTACAAGACATAGAATGAACACACATGCATACACACACACATGGGCTGAATATAAAAAAATGGAAAATGATGGGACGTTCTAGCCAGAGCAAAAAGGCATGAGAAAGAAAGAAAAGATGACAGGGCGCGGTGGCTCAAGCCTGTAATCCCAGCACTTTGGGAGGCCAAGGCGGGTGGATCACGAGGTCAAGAAATCGAGACCATCCTGGTCAACATGGTGAAACCCTGTCTCTACTAAAAATACAAAAAATTAGCTGGGCATGGTGGCTTGTGCCTGTAATCCCAGCTACTCAGGAGGCTGAGGCAGGAGAATTGCCTGAACCCAGGAGGCGGAGGTTGCGGTGAGCTGAGATCGCGCCATTGCACTCCAGCCTGGGTAACAAGAGCGAAACTCCATCTCAAAAAAAAAAAAAGATATTGAAATAGGAAAAGAAGTCAAACTATCTCAAACTGATATTCCATACTTAGAAAACCTTAAATACTCTAATAAAAGGCTCCCCTGAGAATGGATATATAACTTCAGTAAAGTTTCAGGATACAAAATCAGTGTACGAAAATCAGTAACATTTCTATGCACCAATAACATTTGAATTTGAGAGCCAAGTCAAGAAAATAATGCTATTCACAGTAAATACACACACACGTACATGTGCGCGCATGCGCGCGGGCACACATGCACACACACACACCCTTAGAAATACCTTTAACCAAGGAGGTGAAAGATCTCTACAAGAACTACAAACTCCAGGTGAAAGAAATCATAGGTGATATATACAAATGGAAAAACATTTCATGCTTTTGAGTTGGAAGAATCAATATTGTTAAAATGGCCATACTGCCCAAAGCAATCTACAGATTCAGTACTGTTTCTATCAAACCACCAGTGTCACATTTCACAGAATTAGAAAAAACTATTTTAAAATTCCTATGGAGCCAAAAAGCCTGAGTAACCAAAGCAATACTAAGCAAAAAGAACAAAGCTGGAGGCATCCCATTACCTGACTTCAGACTATACTACAAGGCTATGGTAACCAAAACAGCATAGTACTGGTAAAAAAAAAAAAGACACATACGTTGTATTCTTGTACATGTCTGTTCTTGCACTGCTTAAAGACCTATCTGTGACTGGGTAATTTATAAAGAAACATCATTCTGGACATAGGCCTTGGGAAAGAATTTATGGCTAAGCCATGAAAAGCAATTGCAACAAAAATAAAAATTTGTAAGTGGGATCGAATTAAGTTAAAGAGCTGCACAGCAAAATAAACTATGAAATCTCTCAGCTATTGCTTGTTCGTAAGGGATTTTATTTCTCCTTTGCTTGTGAAGATTAGTTTGGCTGGATATGAAATTCTAAGTTGGAAGTTCTTTCCCTTAAGGATGTTGAATATTGGCCCCCCCACTCTCTTCTGGCTTGTAGAGTTTCTGCCAAGAGATCCGCTGTGTGTCTGATGGGCTTCCCTTTGTGGGTAATCCAAACTTTCTCTCTGGCTGCCCTTAGCATTTTTTCCTTCATTTCAACCCTGGTGAATCTGATGATTATGTGCCTTGGGGTTCCTCTTCTTGAGGTATTCCTGGACTTTGTGGTCTCTGTATTTCCTGGACTTGAATGTTGGCCTGACTTGCTTGGTTGGGGAAGTTATCCTGGATAATATCCTGAAAAGTGTTTTCCATCTTGGATTCATTCTCTCCGTTACATTCAGGTACACCTATCAAACGTAGATTAGGTCTTTTCACATAATCCCATATTTCTTGGAGGCTTTGTTTATTTATTTTTCACTCTTTTTTCTCTAATCTAGCCTTCTCATTTTATTTCATTGAGTTGATCTTCAATCTCTGATATCCTTGTTTAGTTGATTTGGCTATTGAAACTTGTGTATTCTTTGTGAAGGTCTCATGCGGTGTTTTTCAGCTCCATTGAGTTGTTTATATTCTTCTCTAAGCTGTTCATTCTAGTTAACATTTCTTCTAACCTTTTTTCAAGGTTCTTAGTTTCTTTGCACTTGGTTAGAACATGTTCTTTTAGCTCAGAGAAGTTTCTTATTAGCCACTTTCTGAAGCCTGTTTTTGTCAATTCATCAGACTTATTCTCCATCCAGCTTTGTTCCCTTGCTGGTGAGGAGTTGTGACCCCTTGGAGGAGAAGAGGTGTTCTGTTTTTTGGTGTTTTCATCCTTTTTGTGCTGGTTTCTTCCCATCTTCATGGCTTTATCTACCTGTGGCCTTTGTAGTTGGTGACTTCCAGATGGAGTCTCTGAGTGGATGTCCTTTTTGTTGATGTTGAAATTATTTCTTTCTGTTTTTTTGTTTCCTTCTAACAGTCAGGCCCCTCTGCTGCAGGACTGCTGGAGGTCTACTCCAGACTGTGCTTGTCTGGGGATCACCTGCGGGGTCTGCAGAACAGTAAGGGTTGCTGTCAGTTTCTTCTTCAGTTATCTTTGTCCCAGAAGGGTACCCACCAGATGTTGGCCTAAGCTCTCCTTTATGAGGTGTCTCTTTGGATATATGGGGTCAGAGAGCTGCTTGAGGAGACAGTCTGTTCCTTATAGGAGCTCAAGTGCTGTGACGGGAATTCTGTTGTTTTGTGCAGAGCTGCTGGGCAGATACTTTTAAGTCTGCTGCAGCAGAAATCATAACCCTCTTTTCCCAGGTGCTCTATCCTAGGAAGGTTGGACTTTATTTTTATGTTCCTGATGTGCTGCTACCTTTTTTCATAGATGCCCTGCCCAGCACAGAGATAGTCTAGTCACAGTCTGCCCACAGATACATTGCTGAGCTGCTGTGGGCTCTGCCCAGCTGCTGTGTGAACTTCCTTGAGGTGTTGTTTATAGAGGTACAGTTAGAACTGCCTTGGTATTGGCAGACTGCCTCTATAGTGGTGGATGCCCTACCCCCACCGATCTGGACCATCCTGGGTCTAGCTGCACTTGCTGCGAAACTCTCAATCCAAAGCATTTCAGATTGCTTGTTTTGTGGGGGTGATATCCACTGAGCCAGATCACCTGGCTCCGTGTCTCAGCCCCTCCCTTTCAGTTGATTGGGTGGCTCTGTCTCCCAGGCATTCCAGTGCCAGTTGAAACAGCTACCCAGATTTGTGTGAGTTTCTGTGCAGCAACCCACGGCACTGGCTGAAACAGCCATGCTGGAAACTCCTGGTGCTTTTCAGCCTGGGAATCTCCTGGTTTGTGGCCTTGAAAACTCGTTTGGAAATGAGGTGATCATTTACCCTCTGAGTTGTTCTTGCTGGGACCTGCACTCCAGAGCTGTTCCTATTTAGTTATCTTGGATTGACAAAATAGTTCTTAAGACAAATAACATTTCTGGGATAAAGAGAGAAACCACATACGCAAAAAGGTAACCACAGATCAAGAAGATATAAGAATAATGAAATTACATGCTTTTAATACAATAATCATATATTTTAACATTGAAAGAATGAAGCAAACATTGGCAATATTATAAGAAGAAAGTAAAAAAACCATAGTAGGAGATGAACACAACTTATAAATCCAGCAGACAAAAATTAGAGTGGGAATGGGAGTTTGAACAATAAAATTACCAAGTATGATATAATATGTGCATGTACGTATCTAAAAACTTTACATTTAAGTGCATATAGGTTATTTTCAAGTATAGGTAGAAGCTTTTTAAAATTTGAACATGAAGGCAAA